TATGTATATATATATATATGTATATGTATATATATATATATATATATGTATATATATATATGTATATATATATGTATATGTATATATATATATATATATATGTATATGTATATATATACATATACATATATATACATATATATATGTATATGTATATATATGTATATATATGTATATATATGAATGTCAGACTGTTATTCATTGAGCTAACTGGTCAACACTGTTGAACTGGTCCAGATGGCATGAACTTTTTTGTTATCTACCTGGATGATTGAGCTCACAAACTTTTTTTTGTCTGTCACAGGGTACCTGTGTTGATGTGGGCTCAGAGATGCAAGCTTCACTGTTAATTCTCCTCTGTGGTGAGTAAACAGTCTTTGAAGTCGATCTGTGGCCTCCGATGCTGAACAAATCCTCAGAAGTGATTCAGTGAACGGGTATTGAAGCTAACGAGTAACTCCAAGAGGTCACCGAGCGTTCTTTGATTAGTCTCTGGAAAATATGGAAGTGATTCTGCTTCACTATGCTGATGTAAGCCTGTGGGCGTACATGCTGTAGCTAAAAAGGACAACGCTGCAGAGCTTGGACAGATTTATAAATCCAATGCAATAAGTTTTCAAGAAGAGACGAGAAAGACTTTTTTTTTTCATTATTATTATTATTATTTTTTACATACCCCGATACATTGTTTGGCACCTTTTCACAATGATAAAAAACACACAACTGATGTGACTCTGTTGTCTCACCTGTCCCATTTCTCCCAGACACTTTGGGACTTTGTGAAAACCAGTCTGGTGTTTTTGTAAAGTGGGACCTTGCTGGTTCCTCCTCCATGAAAAACATTATAGTTCAATGGATGCTGCAACCAGAAAGTTGCGTATCTTGAACTTGGAGTTCAGCTTGACTAGCTGTGGATGGTTTCCTCTGCTCTTTTTCTACCGTTCACACTATCTGACTGATCGACCTGGGGTTGCATTTCCTCTTGCGTCCACATCCTGCGAGACTGGCTACAGTCCTGTTACTCTTATACTTGTCGATAATATTGGTAGCTGTTATCAGAGGAACATGAAGCTGCTTGGAGATGGTCTTGTGTTCCCTTTTCCCTACAACCTTCTTTCTGAGCTCCTCAGACAGCTGCCACCTTTTGCTGTGTACACAACCTCAACCGGACCAAACTATCAAACTATCCAGTGGCTGTTTGTTGTGAAGGCGCCTGTGATACTAACTAAGGTCACACACTTCTCGTATTCCTCAGAAAAAACGTTCAAAATGTCCGTCAGATGTTGGCCCCTGCGTCTCTGCTCAGAGACAAGATAGCTGGTGTTTCTTTTTTAGGGCCTCTGGTGCCCCCGGAGTCTCAGGGGTCATCCCAGTCTGTTTCTCACTGCATCCCTGTGGGTGGCGTCACCCTGTTTATGGTCCTCCTAAAACAGGCCAGCTGAATCCACAAATAGAGCCGCCGATTCCACACCGACCGTACCCATCAGGACCTTCTGAACGCGTACGAGTCCAGTATTGTGTTGGAGCACTGGTGGAAAAGTAAGTTTGGAGAAGGGCTGACATGAAACAAGAAGTCTTCTTTTCATCTTTAGTGTCTGTTAGCAAAATATGTCATGAACCACTTGGCTAATTTTAATCAACTCTTAGAAAGCCGTCATTGCATCTAAAACTGATTAACTTTAGGAGCTGAGCCAATTTATGATAGCACCCACAGGCATCTCATATACAAACTTGGATTTGACTTGTTTTTACAGATACTGAGCTCCAGTTAGGTGTGGTAGTAGCTGAGAGTCATTCCCAACATGAACTCTGAGCCCCAACAGATCTTTGATTTAAACATTGGTATAAAGGCCTGCTGGTGAGGAATACTTCAGTTTTATATCGTGTGATGGAGTGTTTGCAGTCTCGACTGGACAGAGGTGGCTTGTATCAAATTAAAGGAAAATATTGTTTAAATTATTCTCATTAGTAGAGTAATTGATGCCCGAGGGAGTCCTAGCGTATGGAAATATTTAAACAAAGTGGCATGTCCAGACATCCTGAACAGATTTCCGGAAAGATTTTCATTTGTGCTTTTGAAACGTTTTGAAGAAATGTGATAATTCAAGATTTAGCTTCAAACGCGTTTTATAGTTTTCACCTAAATACAAAGAGAAAATGAGACGACCTCCTCGAAATCAAAATAAAGTAGATGTGCTGAGATAGGTAGAGATGAATAGAGCCTATAAGCAGTTAGCTCAGTCGCTTGTTTGTGCGAAAAATATTATTTAGAGATAAAGTTTTAAAAGCTTGAGATGTTTATCAAAATGAAAAAAATAAACTTACAGCCTTCAAACTTCAGAAATGTCAGTGAAATTATTCAAAGAAGAGTTTATTGAAGAAAATGTAAATGAAAACAAGATAAAAATACTAAAAGAACCCACTATGGACTTTGACGTGTTTTGGAGTTGAACATTGATCAGCTGTGCCTCGACGACGTTTCACGCTGTCGGTTCAGTGATACGGAGCTGTCCGTTCAAGCCTCCAACGCCTCCGAGAACGAGCTGCAGGGTCAAAGGTCAAGCCCAAATCCCCGGGTCGGAGGTGGGGTTAATTGGCTGGTGAACCAGTGAATGTATGTCGGTTTATGTTTGTTCTTTATGAACGGAAAGGGAACGTTGAGGGTGAAGGTTAGAACTCAAGAACCAGCAGTCGGTCAGTTCTGCTCCCACTTTTTGAACTTTTGTTGTTGTTTCGCAGGAGACTGATGTGATTTATATGAAGCTAGAAGTGTCACAAATCAGTTAACGAGTCCATGCAGGTAAATGGCCGGAGGGAAAACTGTACAAACTTTACAGACGAGCTGGTCAGGGTTTGAATCGTAAGTGCATCCTAACTTCGTTGCAGGTTCGTGACGTCACGCTGTGTTTAGCCGATGTCTTCCTCAGGTGTGTGTGTGGCCAGGTGAGAGCAGGTTAGGCGACAGTAGCAAGAGGAGTTCCTTCCATGCGACAGCCTCCGGAAATGTGTAGATAACTGAACAATGGTGTGGTGGAGCCTACTAACCACCAAGCCTTAGAAACAAACAGGGATAAAGGCTGAAAAAATAGACGTGAGAGAAAGAGCCGGATAGAATCGGGACAAAGAAGAAGACGAGAGACAGACTGTAGGCTCAGAAGAAAGACGGGGTGGGGGATTTGTCATATGAAAGGACGGTGAGTTGGGTTTCTCCGTCCTGTTGACACGGGGCTTTTCTGCATTAAAGGAGGAGGTGGAGATAAAAAGCAGAGGAGGAGGATTGGCGGGGGAAGGATGAAGGGGAATGGAGGCGGTCTCATAAAAAACAATGGCGTGGCTGGTACAGTGATGAACATGAGCAGAGCAGACAGTGTCGAGGGGGGCAGGTGTACCGAGGCGGGCTACAACCTTCATTAACCCACATCAGATAATCAAAACAAATGACCAAAATCTGTTTATTACTAAACACATTTTGACCGGTTGTGGTATAAATAAAGCACATTTAGTTTTCATGCATCATATCTAGCCCACATTAGCTTTCATAAAATAATCATTATTGTGACTGAAGACATAAAGTACTGCTCAACAGGACGTGACTCTATTAAAAGTTTATTTTCTTAGTCGTTCTGAGTTACTGGAGATCGATAATGTGCAAAGCAGAGCCAGATGTGACAACTGCTGCTTGTTTCAGAGCTGAAAATCTTTAGTTTTCCAGAGGATCAGAATTTACAATCATTATTTTAATACCAAACAAGTTCTCACATGACGTTTGTAACCATTGGCAACATTAAAAAACAAGATTTTAGTATGTCGCATATCATTGACGGGTTCCAAGCAGGTTCTTTCCTCTTAAATTTAGATTTGACTCAGACTTTTGACATCACCGATCTGATTTTTGACGTTTGTTTGGACGTTTTTGTTTGGGGGAGTGGTGGCGCAGAAGCTCCTGTGATCGCAAGGTCGCTGGCTCTACCCCGCTGGACATCAACATGTGGCCCGCTTCCTACCTTACGAAAGGAGCAGCCAAAAGAAAATACGTTTTTTTGTTTTTGCTATCAGCCACACGCCTGGTCTACTAAGTTGACAACAAGTTTGTGTTTCGCACGCTTTGTTTAAAGAACTCTCAGACGTCTAATTATCTAATCGCAGACAAGCAGTAATTAGGGGGTGATCCTGCCAGGATGGAGAGGGAAGAGGAAGGAAGGAAAGACTGATGGGAAGAAGGAAACAAGGATGAAGTGGATAACGTCAAAGGAGGGGAGTTAGGAAGCAGTGGTGTTTGCGTTTACCGCGCTCGCTATTTTCTTGAGATATTTAAATGAAACGCGCTGTTGTCATAGGCAACAGACCTAATCATACATATCCCCCCTCCCAACACACACGCACACACCCTCAAAACTCTAAATAAGCTTTCTGGCTTGTAACCCGAGCCATCTGTGTCATATAAGTTTCACATCTTCTCTTTTTAATGTGTTTTTTAATAGACTTGGTTCTACAGATAATATTATTTGACTGTTTTTCTTATTCACTGAGAGTTGCCAAAAGGGTGATAATGTTTTTGCCATTGTCTCTGTGTGCACGTGTTTGTGCGTCTGCTGTGTTTGAACCACTGGACGTATTTTATTGAAATTCAAAGAGTCTACAAATAACTTACATTTGGAGTCAACTCAGTTCAAGATGGCCGCTGCCGCTAAGCACATGTAGTAAACACAAAAGTTGCTATGACTCAGCCGTTTTTTCAATATTGAATTGAAGTTTGGTGTCTTAGATGCTGAGAATAACTTACACAATATGCACTAACCTAGTGGTTCCTAACTCCGGTCCTTGGGGAACACCATCCTGCATGTTTTAGTTGTTTCTCTGCTTTAACACACCTGATTCAGTGATCTAATTACTTGCTCATGTTCTGCAGAAGCCTGTTAATCACCTGTTCATTCAAATCAGGTGTGATGGAGCAGAGAAGCAACTAAACCATGCAGGATGGTGTTCCTCAAGGACCACGGTTGGGAAACACTGCACTAAATGATTTGTAAAAAAATGCTTTTATCTCCTTCAGTTATTTCTGTCTGTCTGTTAACAAAGTATTTCATGGACCGCTGGACAAATTTTATTCAAACTTAGAAAGAAATGACTAAAGTAAACAACAAATATTCAACATTAGCCTATACAAAATGACTAAAACGCAGCCAGTTTAGCAGCTAGAGCTAAATTTAGGTGTGGTAGTAGGTGAGAGTTGTCCTCAATGCATATTTTAAGCACTCAGTAACAAATCAGTTGATCTAGCATTATTGCATGAGATTGTGCATTATGTCGTTTACAGGTTTACATCAAAATAAACATAATTCAGTCTCCTGTCAGCATACAT